GAGCAGGTTGCCCTGCAGAACTCTGGGCTGCCGCCGATGCTGCGGGCGCGCGAGCGCCTGCCGACGACGAGGCAGCGCCCGCTGTTCCCCTGGGCGTCCGAGGAGTCCTCGGCGGGGTACTGATGTCGAAGTCCTGGCGTTTCTTCTCGTCGATGTCGCAGTACTCGCATGTCCTATATTCGGGGGATGCCCCCGGTGCCTTCGGTGTATTTCCTATATTTTCTGATCGGTGCCACGCCGCGTTGAAGAAGCATCCCTCGGTGATCCTTCCAGCGCCGGCATCCAGCCAGTCCTGTGTCCGGCCAGGTGCAGGGCCGCGACGTGGAACAGGGCCCTTCGGAGTAGGAGCGCTGGCGCCTTGAAACGCAGCTGCTGCGGCCGCCACAGCTGGTCCTCTGGATCGACATCGATCAGCAGGTTGCCCCGCAGGTCGTTGTTGCTTGCTGTCTCCAGGGTTAGGATCATCTGGGCTCTTCCTCTACTTCTGTTCGGGCGGTGGTCCGAGCTGATCACGTCCGAGCGACTTAGACGGGCTCGACGAATCCGAAGATGGAAGAACATCAATAGGCGGATCTGTCTTCGGCTTGGGAGCTGCCTTAGCTGGCGCCCCTGCAGGTAACCATGGCTCTCGTCGCATGGGCCCGCTGCCAGTGCCCAGGTCTATACCGCCAGGCTTTCTGAATGCCAAATTACCGATAGTGGCCCTCTTCTTCCCGGACGACAGATATTTGGTAGAGCTGAGCCTCCGTTTGATTCTGGTCTTTACCCAGCCTACAGATCCAGCACGATAGACAACCCGTCTTTTTTGAGAAAGATCCACTTCTGCCGCAACGGCATATCTCGGATCGACAGGGGCGCCCGCATCGCACGCGATGTCGGCGACGTCCGCGCCAGCGGCGAGGGCGTCGGAGGAGCCCGCTTCAACTTCAGCTTCATCAGCTTCTTGCTGATCGTCTTCATCTGCTTTGGGCGGAGCAGGTTTCCTCGCGCGCCACTCGCGAGTAAACTGCTTCAAAAAATGTAGAGGTGAAAAGTGCTTCCATATCTTAATAGGCTGTGATATTTTGTCGGCTGTAGCTTGCTCGCAATCGTTTTCCGCCAACTGCTCCTCATATGGCGCTGCATTAAGATCGGCGCAGCAATCCCGACCACCACCATGAGACCAATACCACGGTGCCCTTTTCAAGTTCGGGCTTCTTGATGGGCGTCTCATGAGGCAGCCAGGCCCGCGGTCGGCATATTCGGGGCACGCGCAACAAACGCCTCTGCAAAGTTTCCGTTCCTCGACGATATCCCTCTCGAGGTCGCCCCTGCGAATGACATTGCGAATGATATTGCCTTATCCATTTCGCTCGACATAGCGAGGAGAGTACAAGTGACGAACCTGGCGATCAGTCCAACCCCTGTCCAACCAGCAGTGCACCGCATCTGGGCGCATGCACTGACGAGCTAGTCCAGCTTCCGCGCAGCCAACAAGGCGCGGCACTCCGTCTCACAAGCATTCTTCTTGAGGTTGATATCCTTGAGGCGGGCGCCTCCGCGAAGGCCCCCTCCTCGGTGGAGCGCCAGGTCGATTGGCCTGCCATGGGGAGGTCTTCGGGCGCCCCGCATCAGGAGGACGAGGGCGCCGAAGGCCGCCGGGGCGAGCGACTCTGGAGCGCGCGCGCGCACGATTGGGTGACCGACCGGGGGTCCGACCGCGGCGCGCCAGACGAGCGCCATCTCCCCCTTCTTCGTCATCGTCGTCGGCGCGACACTTTCGCCCCCAGAACTGGCGGCTTGCCGATCGCCTCTGGCGGCTCACAGAGCGGCCCGACGCTACAAATGTGCATTGAAATCCTTCATCATGGCCAAGCTTATCCTGAATGCGCTCGGACAGATCGCCAACGTCTCGCTGGTTTCCCCGCAAAGGATCACCATCACTTAATTCAATGTTTGTCGGATTTCCAATAACCCGAGTTTAAGCATCAACTGCGCGCCCCCCTCTGCCGCAGGAATAATGGCTTCTGAATCCGCGGGTGCCCCCGCCATTTCGCCATCTCCCTCGGCGGGCACGTGGAAATTCTCGACGAACTCAACATCTGCAGGTTGCCCCGCAATGGGTATGCCCAGCCAGTCTGCCAGATCGGTATCATTGTGGCCAGTGAACACCTCCTCGAACAACTCGTCGGCGCAATTCTCGAGGGACATACTGGCACTCAAATATCTAGCAGCCATGGCGTCAACAACTGCAGCTGAGCTATCGGCAGGGTCAGCTAAAAGGACCCCCAGTCAACATACTGCATGTCAGAAGCAGTTTGAGCCAGATGCATCGACGGACCCCATGCCTCTCCCATCGCCCTGAGGGCATTCGCGGCGAAAGTGCTGCGTGCTATGGCATATGTCGCACTCCATAGTCTTACCATTGGCATCCTTCGGGCTCCCCCGACGCCCCCTACCTTTTCCCGATGCACGCCTGCGACTCCTGCCTGCACCTATATCTATATATATATGTATATATATATATATATATATATATATATATATATATATGTGGCCCGGTAAGGGATGCTAGGGATGCGTGCATGCCTCTGCCACGCTATCGCCGACGCTTACCTCTACCCTTACCTCGAGCCTTGCCCCCCCCCTTGAGCGCTCGTCGGACGATAGGCCGTGCTCTACGGACTGGCTTCTCCATGGATCGCCTCCATCAGCGCTTATGTCTCTGGTGCCCTACGAATAACCATTGCGCCCGTTGCTCTTCCGCGAGGTATGCAAGCATATCGGAGTAGTCAAGGGCTGCGGCCTCGTCGTCCGAAGACGCATCGGCATCGATGCCGGAGTCGAAGTCGGACTCGGCAGGTTGCCCCGCTGAGCCCATTAGGGCCATGGCTTGCGCAGGGGATACCGCGTCGCGCGGCCCCCGAAACCTGGCCCAGGAGACTTGCGACCCCGAGGCCGATCCACCATTCCGAACCAGTAGCGCAGTGGTCTCAGTTGGCTGTGGATCGCCATTCCAGACGCCATTAGCAGGTTGACCTGCGTTTGCCTCGACGTGGAAGGTCTCGGTTCGGTAGCCGCGATCGAAAATACCGCCAATATTGCCAGGGGTTCTCTCAGCAATGTGCGCATATGACCTCACGCGTTCGAGTAGAGCGTCAAACTGTTGCTGGTCTCTCGGCATGCGGTGGTTTAGTGGCTGCAGGAGTTGATGCGCACTCGACGCCTCCACTCCAAGAGCTCTGAACATAATAACTGTTAAGATTTGGAAGTTGGGGATGTTAAAGCCTGCCGCTTCCGCTTCATAGCGGGCTATTTCGAAGCGTGCCAACGTCTGGCCGATTCGGTCTCCCGCATGGACTCGGAAGTCAATGAGAGCTGTGACAAGGTTGATTTGGCGCTCCTCTTCGAAATTCTCGAACTTCGTGCTCAAGAAGAACATGGCGACCACCTATGTTAAAGCCAAGATTGATAACTGCTGGGGGAACTCTCATGGCTATGGCCCGTGCGAGGCCTCCCAAACCTCACTGCAGGGCTGCAGCTTGATGGGAAGGCGTCATGTTGCCTGTGGTCACGTCACGTTGATCTAGGCATGTACCTCGCGGGCGAATTCGCGAAAAGGTACCTGACCGGCTAGGTCCCGATGACAGCCGGTCGACCTTGTGTCGTCTCCGCCGTTCACATGTCCTACCGCACATCCGATAGCGACCCATGCGAGCCCAAAGATAGTAACACCAAACCAATGGCCGCGCAGGTCGTACTCGGATGTAATCGGTTGGGGCTTCCAATGTGTAGTCGTAAGTCTGTGTGGGGGTGGCGGCGGCACCGTGTCGTATCGCATGTTTCCATGCAGTATGTCTTCGAAGAAGCTTCCACATGGAGTAGGTCGGTGGACTTCTGGAGTGAAAAAGCGCAGGGATGTAGGGCGTAAGTGAGAGGCCTCCGCGTAAGCAGAGGTGCCACTGCAAGTGTCATTGCTATGCGTAGTTACATACATTCCTCCGCGCAAACCCACTGCACCCTGATGTTCCACCACGTCTATAATCCACCAGATAGTGCCGTGGATGGTGAGGAGTACAGCAAGAGCTGACCACCATAGGCCAGCCCCGCTACCAAGTCTGAAAGGGGTTGGGAGACCCAACCAACCGTTTCGCCTTAGGCGAAACCATGTTCCTGCTCTGCTGTTCCGCAGTAGCGATAGTCCCAGTAGGAGAAGGAGAGCCATCTCAAGCAATAATTTGGTATCGATGGCAATCAGTACACCTTGCGCTGAGGTGTAGTCAGATCTGGGCGGCCGGCCGCTTGAGCCAAGCAGCCGCGGGCACACGTTCGCTTCCGCTAACCTGTGTCCCCGGCTCACTTTAGAGTTTGGCATGGTCTGTACGCCACGCCCTCCTGGCCGAGGCCAAATGGGGCCTGACCTTCTTCTTTCACACCAGATGTGCCACTCGGTTGAGATTGACCGCAAGGACGGGCGGACGGTCCCTACGCGCCGGGGCGCGGCCCCACAGGGAACGGAGCGGCGACGCCATGGGGCCGAGCATTCGAACTGAAGACAATGCAGCGGGAGCATGGCACAGGAAAGGCGGGAAAGAAACGGGATAAGCAGATAAGCAGCCGGGGACGCAAGCAAGAGACAAGACAACCGCAAGTCGTGGAGAGCCTGAAACAACACATCCACAATAATGGGCACCCTGGTAAATGACGCTCTCTGTACACAGTGAGTACGAACAGCACTGCCAAGCCTCAGAAAACTCCTCATTCGTCTTCCCTGCCTGCGGTATTCGGCACAGCTCGCGAATGCAGGAAAGCACAGCTGCGCACCTAACGTCTCGCATCGCAGAGCTCAGAAACCACACTTGGGAAATGAAAACGCATGTTTCCGTCCTCGTCGATCTGTGAAAACTATTCCGATTAGACCCCGTCGCAAATTCTACTCGCAAGCGGCCACACGAAAAACAAACTGACTCCAGGTGATCGATCGGCAGGGGTCGCTGGCAAATGCGCGCTATGGTCTCGGCCATCTTGACGAGGGAGTCGACGGCCTTCGAGGCCTCGGCAGCGCAGGGCGGAATGAGGTTGGGACAGTGCAGAGCCGATCGAACGACTGCCCAAGCAGAAGCGGCTCGAGCGCCGCTGCGCGAGCTGCCCACGGGGGCGCCCAGGAGGGGAAGGTACAGGAGGGGGGTTCGCAAATCATGGCCCGAGGCATCTGCGCGGACCAGGGCCACGAAATCTGGTGAGATATCATGGCCCCGGCCATGATATCCACCTCCCGCCCTGGCCATCAGACCCCTCGTGGCAGGATCAGTCAGCATCGAATCGTGAAATCGGATCGTATCGGAATGCACGTCGGATCGGGCTGCATCGGCACAAAGACGAATCAAATCGGATCGGCTGCGCCAGGATGCACAAACAGCGCCGTGGAAACATCAGATCGCATCGGATCGTCGGAATACCCAAGCCGAATCGATATCGGATCGAGCGGGCCAGAATCGATATCGGACCGGACCGATCGGATCGAAATAGTCCCTGCTCCTGGCCGTCCCCGATGCCGGCGTAGCGCTGCCCTCTGGCCCAAGCCCAAGCCGGGGGGCGAGTGCTGGGCGCAGTCGCGGGCCAGGCACGGCCTGGGAGCGAGGGCCCGTGCTCGGCTCCTCCTGCGAGGTCGTGGCCCCACGGGCACGAGTGAAGAGGAGGGAGGGAGAGAGGAGGAGTACGGCAACGGCCACGACGACAACGAGTAGGAAAGAGGAGGGAGAAGGGGAGAGGAGGATAAGGAGGGGCCCTTACGAAACCCAGCGGAGCCTAAAAACCTACAGGAGCGTCCACGCGGTTTACAAAGAGGTCCCCACTAGGGAGGAAGGGAGGGCGGTGCAAATGAGAAGTTCACGTCCGAGGGGATGCGGCGCGGCTGGGAAATAGGAGGGAGGAATGGTCAAGGACGAGGGACGAGGAAGGATTCCAAGGTCGAGGTTTCTGAACTTTTTGTCACTTCTTGGAGCTCTGGGAGACTCCAGATGCCTCCAGGGACCCGTGGTGGTATCCAGGGGCTTCTGGACACTTCCGGGGAGGAGGGAGGAGGGAAGAGGGAAGGTGGAGGAGGAGGGTGGGAGGGAAGGACGGACGAGGGATGATAAAAGGAAGAAGAGAGGAAGGGAGGCAGGGAAGGAGGAAGTGAGGGAGAGGGAGGGATGAGGAAAGAAGGGGAAACAGAGAAAGAGGGAAGAGGAGAAAGTGAGGAGGGAGGAACGAGGATTGAGTCTTCTCTTCTGAGGAATACCAAACCAGAGCATAACCCGCTTGTCGAACTAATCTCGCTGCGCACGGCAACAGCGTACCCGCGCAGCTCAAAGAGGCGACGGTGAAGACGTCAGAGATTCCTTGACGGGTCAAAGCTCAACGCTTACCCCAAGTTGGCTCCAGAATTGAGTGCCTGACAGTGGCACGGCTCCAGCGGGTCGAGCCCTAACAGTTTAGGCCCACGTAGGGCAAGCGCACTCGACCCAACCACGACTGCCCCGCCCCATCCCTCGTGGTCCTGGAACTAGGACTACCAGCAGCAACTCGAGACATGTCGACCAGGAGGGGTGGCTCATGACGGCGTGCCAAAAAAAGTGGGAAACAGGCCCGGAAGCGAAGCCACAGCATCGGTGTTTCCTACGTCAGCCGCGCGAATGCGCAAGTAGGTGCAGGTTTTAACATAGGCGGCTAAACTTTGGGAGGTAACAGGAGGAAAAGGCGGCCCTAAAAAACAAAAGGCTCGGAGTTGAATCCGCCACCGTGCCCCCAGGAACGTTGAGGCGTGGCATGATGCCAAGTGTTGTTTGGCATGCCCAGTGTGTTTTCCCAATTTATTATCCTCTCGTTCGGTGTTGTGTTGGATGTCTGTATGCAGTGGCCGTGCGAGCAATCGAGGACTGAGTGCAGCATTGACCTGCTCAGGCTGATACGCTTTCGGTTGGAACTTTTATCGCTAGGCTTACGCCCCCTCTCCTCCTCGTCTCCCTCCCCTTCCTCCCTTTCCTCCTCTCTCTACGTCGCCAGTTGCTGTATGGCTTCTGTAAATCCAACCAGCCCTTTGGGCGTGAGTGGTTTAGAGAGCCCGCTCTGTCCTCAACCCCCCTTCTTCCCCTTCGGGGAGGGGTTTACCCCTCCCCCTACCCCCTCCCCCTGGGCCTGGAGAGGGAGTCCCGAGTGGTGTCAAGGGGGTCTTTTTCGACTCCTGGGAGGGCCAAAAAACGACGACCCTCACGAGGATTCTGGTCCCGAGGGGGGGGGGCAGTTTGGCGCCTCAACTCGTCGTGAAGCCAAAAACATTGATTTTACTGCGATTTGGGCCCCATTTTGGCCTTCTGAGGGGGCCGCGCTCATCTTCCTTCAGAGCAAAAACATTGATTTTACGAAGGTGTTGGGCTCATGTTGTCCTTCTCAGGGGGCAGCGCCCCTTTGCGCTTCAGAGGAGGTCGCAAGAGGCCCCAAGATGGCCCCAAGAGGCCCCCAGGAGCCTCCCAAGAGGCCTCCAAGAGGCCCCAAGAGGCCCCCAAGAGGCCCCAAGAGGCCCCCAAGAGGTCCCCAAGAGGCCCCCAAGAGGCCCCCAGAGGCCCCACGAGGCCCCCAAGAGGCCCCCAAGAGGCCCCCAAGAGGCCCCCAAGAGGCCCCCAAGAGGCCCCAAGAGGCTCCCCTGGGGCCGCCAAGAGGCCCCCAAGACGCCCCAAAAGGGGACGAGGTGCCCGAACGCCTCACGCCACGAGGAGCCCGAACGACTCACACCAGGACGAGGGGCCCGAACGACTCACACCACGAAGAGCCCGAACGACTCACACCAGAAGGAGGGGCCCGAACGACTCACACCAGGACGAGGCGCCCGAACGACTCACACCACGAGGAGCCCGAACGACTCACACCACGACGAGGGCCCCGAACGACTCACACCACGAGGAGCCCGAACGAGTCACACCAGGAGGAGGGGCCCGAACGACTCACACCAGGACGAGGGGCCCGAACAACTCACACCACGAGAAGCCCGAACGACTCACACCAGGACGAAGAGCCCGAACGACTCACACCACGAAGAGCCCGAACGACTCACACCAGGAAGAAGGGCCCGAACGACTCACACCAGGACGAGAAACCCCAAACGACTCAAACCACGAGGAGCGCTTTCTCTCCCTCCTCCTCCGCCTCGTCCTTCTCCCGCTCCCACCACAAGGAGGATGTACAAGAAGGCGGGAGGAAGGAGGAACAGGGGAGATATGCGGGGGCAGGCGGAAACACGCCTGACAAACACGACTGTCGGCATGCTTCGCAAGAGTTGCTGTTTTGAGATGGGCTGGTGGGGATACGCGAAGCGTAAAGAATTTTCTGAGTCGTGTGCACTGCTCCCCCTCCCTCCCGAGAGTTACCGGGCGCCCCGACGCCTCCCTCACGCTCGTCAAGGAGTCCAAGATGTTCGAGGCAACTCCCAAGCTGGCCCAGGCAGGTCACGGAGGCCGCCAAGGTGGCCCAAGACGGCCTGGCATGGCGTCGTTCAACACAACCCGAGGGGCCCTCGAGACGGCCCCAGAGGGCTTCAAGAGAACCATGAGGAATCCCGAAAAAGACAACACCAAATGTATGTCATGTGTTTGCATGATGTTCGCGTTCTAACGCTTTCGGGCTTCCGCCAACCCAGGACGGCCCAAGAGGCCTCCGAGATGGCCCCAGAATTGCCCAATAGGTACCCATGAGGCCCTCAATGTGGACCAAAAGGCCTCCACGACTGCCCAAGGAGGCCCCAAAACGGCGTAAGAGACCCCCTAAGACGAACCCGCAAGGCCCCGAGAGGGACCCAAGAGCGCCCTAAGACGGGCTGAGAGGCCCCCAAGACACCCCCGAGAAGCCTCCAAGACGCGCCTCCACGAGACCCCAAGAGAAGAGGGAAAAAGAGGAAAAGTAAAGACCACGACGACCATGAGGAGAGACACCCCGATGCGAAGCGGAAGGACGTGTCATATGTTCTGGCTCTCCCAAGCCTCGGGGCACGAGGTGGCACATTTTACCGCTTCCTATGCTGGGCTGGCAAATGGGCGGGACTTGCCACAGGGAACTGGAAAATGTCCACACAAGCGGCAGGCCACAAGCTGGCAAGTCTAGTCGGACGGCTGCCTGGACAAAGCATGCAGACGCCGACCGCGGAGCATTGACTGAGGCAACACAAGTCAGCGGTAGCTGAGAGCCGACATAGATATACCGCGCAACGCAGGTAAGGAAAAGTAGTGCGCACGTCCTCGCGGCTGAGAATCTCGGGGCAGCGCCAGCACGAGCACCAGGGCGGCTGGGATAGCAGGCGCGCGCACTATACGTACTGCTCGGGACGCGCACAGATCCAGCCTTTGTTGACACAGCTGGTCCCGCAAGTCCGCATGCCTAACATGTCATTCTGCCGCCACTAATGCCTGGCAGCAGCAAGAGGTGCGAAGGGAAAAGGGAGCGGGAAGGAGAGCAAAGGCAGATAGAAGAAGGGAAGAAGGAGGGAGCAGGGAGGCAGGCTTGTGGCTGCAGTCCTCCTCATGTGCACATGTGTGGAGCACTGTGTACTAGCGACGGCTACTCTAGGCTGTGCCAAACGCACCCTGGAATGGAAAAACTCAAGAGTTGAGACTCGGATGGCCAGAAACGCAGCCGCTGCAAAAAAACCTTGAAAAGAAACTCAAGTCAACAAAACGAAACAAGCAAACAAAAACAAAAACAAACAAGTCAAAAAATGTCCCTACGCCACCGAGGCGCTCTCAACGGTGAGAGCGCGAGAGGACAAAAGAATAGCAGTCACGGGGGTGCACTACATCGAGAGCCTGGGCAGCAGGAAAAGCCCCCCCGAGCCTGAGTGACAACGCAGGATCAGTCTCGGATTGCACGCCACTCAATCCAGTAGGCTCTTATGCCAAGTCTGATACCCTTTCAAGTGTACGCAAGTAAACCCTGGAGAAAGCTATAGAGAGGTACATCAGAAACAGCATAACCAAAAAAGAAGGGGAAGGGTGGGCAGAAGAAGGACGGCTGCAGAAATTGCGAT